CCTGCTGCATGGATGCACCATGTGCTCAGGAGCTCCCTAGAGAGGAAGAGCCCAAGCAGTTCTGATGTCTTAAAATGGGTTCTAACTTTTTTTCTAAGGCAGCCTGAAGTCAGGTGGCTGGCTATGCTGTGTTGGGGTCCTCTAAGCATATCTCCCAAATGTGGCTCTTTCATGGTATGGGTATTTTGAACTGTATGTAAATGAGCAGAGTGGCAGGAAACCTGGGCATCCTGGGAGTCAGTTCACTCCTGAAGTAAGTTAACTCCTGACCATTATCTTCACATCTTGAGGCTGACATACCCTCAAAGAATGTGAATCTTCCTGCTTTGCACATGTTGTAACCCATATGATTTGCTAATACACTATTACATGAAGACAACGTGGTAGCAATGCAGACCTCTCAGGCTATTCCAGGATTCAGGCTATTAAACATATTATATAAAAACATAAATATAGCTCCTAGTGCAAATGCCACCTTCTTTGTAAAAGGAGAGGTACTGGAAAATCTTTGGGCTTCAAACAGGAGCAAAATTGTGGTATGGAGCAGCTGAGACCCTTGCCAGGCTGGACAAAGTCCAAAGGCACTTTGTAATTATTTCAGGGTATGTCAGAAAACGACCCAGTCATTGGCACTGAGAGCATCACAGAAGTACAAGCTAAGCATAAAGATTGACTTTATGGACAGTTCAGTGGGCCATTAAATCAATCCATCAACCTATCTGCCTTTTTACTAGGGCTAAGCATGAGTTTAATCGCCCAGCCTGGACAACTGTCAGGTGTAATTGTCTGCAGATGAGAGACACCTATGCAGTGTCACATGGAAGAGAAGTAAATAGCATAAGGAAACTTGATCAGTTTTCTCCATTTTCCATATTCAGGAATCCAGCTGTCCAGTAGGCCACCAGAATGCAAGAGTTCTCAGGTATGTAATAAGAAAAGTCCACTATGGTGGCAAAAGGAGCTGAGATGATAGAAAACAAGTGATTGTCCTGATGAACCCTAAACAGACATGTAGCTGTGTCTGTTAAAATCTGCTCTCCTCCATCCAGCACTCCAAGTTTTTCATAATAAGTTAAATTTTACTACAAAATTGAGATCAGTACCTGACTTCCAACCTACCACATGTGTCAGCATTCTGAATTATAGCTTTTGATGCTTTATTCAGCTTGTTCCTTACAGGTATTATTGGAAATAGCTCTGTTGCAACTGATTTGTATTTTAATTTAGTGCATTTTGAGGGTTCCCTGCCCTTAATTTGAAACACTATAAAATGTCCGCTGGTGGTTCACGCTGCTCAGGATTCCTAGCACGTTCTCCAGGATCAGTGAAGCACTGCTCTAAAGGTGTTTGGATCTCAGCTATAATAAGCCATGAATGTCACCATGTCAGTCAGATGACTGTGAGATGAGGTCCTGCTCCATTTTTATTAATTGAGCTTCAGTCCACTACTTTTACTAACATAACAGAGATATTTTGCAAAACATCATCGAGGCAAATCATGAAAGCATGCCCTTGTCTGATGAGCCCCCATCCACATGAGGGAAGGTAGAGGATGGCAGCAATACATCCTCCCATACTGTTCTCCCTAATGCTGCTGCAAGCTCTGAGGCTCTCAGGACCGCTTCCTGTGTCACCAGCCTCTGAGCACGATGCTTCCAAATCCAGATCCAGCGCAGAGAGCCAGGTTTGCTGCTGACAGTATGACTTCAACTGGACAAAACTTGTTCCAGCTCATCAGACTTCTGAGTGTATCAGCTTTAGCTTTGCTGATAAAAAGTCAACAAAAGGATTATCCTGTAAAAATCCAGGGATATTATTGGATCTCTGTGGGCGTGAAGATTCTTATTTTAAAAACCATGCACATCTTTGATAAGGGTATTTGGTGATCAGCTTGCCTGTTGAGACAGCTTTTAAGCCCATCAAGGCTGTGCTATGTCAATGTCATGTTGTTGTAACAATGGTAAACAGAAAGGAGAAATGCTCATAGTCTTTATTTTTCATTCGCTCTTTTTCTAATCCCGTGATGTGAATAGTGCAACATTGCTGGAGGAGGATTTTTATTACAAGATAAAGGCTTGAAAGTCCTAGTATTATCAGCTCTAGATTAATTGGGGGAGAAGGATTCAGGGTGTATACCATCTGGTGAATGCTTAGTCTTTTTCTTAACATTTAGCCAGCTATTTTTTTTCAGCAATATCCTGTGATCTGGTTCAAGTATCCTCTATGTCTATTCAATTCAGAACTGGCTGTTTTAAGCCAATTTTGCTTGGCCTTACCTGGAGGTGTTTACTGTCTAGTAAAGATGTTCGGTTTCTGCTTTCTCTCTTTTGGGAATCACTGCCCACTGCACATTTTCGCTTTCAGCTGGACACCAAGAGGCAGGACTGCTCCCACATTGCCTCAGATTAGAGAGGAAAATATAATTAGCCGAACAGGTATAACTGGATACATTAATCCTGGTTTTTTTTGTCATCTATGACAGGTACAAACGAAATAAATACATAGCAAAAAGAGGAGAACTTGTTAGCATGTTGTAATCATGCACAACTAGAAACAAATTTGAAAAGCCTGGATGAAGTACTGAGCAGAGTTTGGGCACAGGACAACTTTTCTGCATGCTGCAAACAAGTACCTTCAGAGCCTGCCCCTAGCTGAAGCATGTGTGCGCTTCTGTGATGACTAAATGCACTAAATGGAACAAAATCAGAAGTCAGCACACCTCAATGATTTGCCCTCACACAGAATATAACTGTTTCCTCCTTGATAATAGAGTGACTATAAAAATCTTTCCATGTTAAATCCCTCATGACTAGTTTTTCTCAGGGGGCAGGTTGATCCACTGCTTCCCCAGTCTTCAATAACCTAGTGATATTAGTATTGGGTTTGTTGTTGGTATTGTTGTTGCTATTTGGGGGGTTCTGTTTGCTTGTTTGTTTTTCCTCCAGCTTGCTAATACTGCCTTTCCCAAGCCTGAGCTTTTGAGGCAGTAAATCACCATATGCAGAGTGCAGTAAAGCACAGGGTTAATTGCACCCTTGCCCTGCCGCAAGAGGCATGTGCTGACCCAGCACTCAGGCCCTGCTGAGCCTCCCCACTTCCCACCCATGGGCAGAGCCCAGCAAGAGCAGCCCCTGGTGAGCCCACAGGGTTTGGTGCAGCCTGGCTGGGCAGCTCTGGGCCTGTCTGCCTGTCTGCACACAGGTTTGTGGTGCTCTGGGCGATGCCATGAGTTATGCCCCAAGGCATGGGTGGCCGACACACATGCTGCTGGCACCTTGTGCCAAATGACTCAGGTCCTACAGTGGAAGTGCTCCCTAAAAAGCTGGGGTAAAACACCAGAGGAATGTACCCAGCCCAGCTTGTGACACCTCCCCACCCAGACTGTGCCAAACACTGGAGCAGAGGGGCAGGATGGTGGTGGAGCTCTCACAGGGGGAACTCAACCTGCTGCAATTTAGAATCATATACTGCAATTTAAAATAAGTTAATTGTAGGCATTTGCTGCCCTCTTGCAGCTCTGATTCTCTGTGAACTCTGACAACAGTGTTCAGTGACAATGTTACAGCATGGCAAGGTCTCTGTATTTCTCAGTTGGTTGTAGGCAGAGCAGAGCAAGCTGCTGGGCACCACTGGCCTCCCTGCAGCCCTCCTGGAAAGCCTATGCTGATCCCAGACAGGGGCTGATGTAAGGGGGAGATCAGCTGGGATGGCAGAAGCCCCTCATCTCTTTCCTCCATCCTTCTGGGGAAGATGGGGCAGCAAGCCTGACTGTCTACAGCAGGTCCTCTGGGTCCTCATGAGAGCAAGCCTGTAATCTTCCAGCTTCAGCTGTATATTCCTCTAGCAAGAAGTTTCAGTTTGGCCTCTAATGCTGTCAAGCACTGAGTGGCTTTGCTGAGTTTGATTTAGTGTTATGGTATACATTTTTTCAGAGATACTCATAAAATTTGGCTAATTTTCATTAATACAATTTTCCAAAAGGTATTAATATTGATATAGCACTTGTGGATACGTGGATAGTGGTTTTGAAAACCTGGACCTCCTCTTCACTAGATTTAAAGTATTGTGATTCTCACAGGGTGAGACTGCTTTGATGAAACATTGAATTCTGCAATGTCTACACCATAGTGCATTAGTCCTGCAGACTGCCTGCCTCATCAGCAGGAGGTCCTGGCACATCTTGGATGCTTCAGACAACTCTGTTATGTCACACTGTCAGATAACTGCATCCTAAAGAAACCATGGCTTATTAAAAGTACCTTGGTTGGCTACCTCAGATGTTGGTACTTGAGAGGCATGTACCTGAAATTAGGTCATGCTAGTTCTACCCTAAAACAGCAAAGAAATCAGTCAGTGGGGAGGTCCAGGAAACCATGTCAGATATTGCTTGTTTTTCTGTTTTGAGATAAAGGAAGGATAACATAGATGAGCTACTCCCAGTAGTACATGTAACAATCTGGCTGCCCGTGTGAAACTGATGATCCTCACCTCCAGCGAGTGACAATCCCAGAAGAGATAAACAGGTAGGCAAGGACTGGGGAAGAAGAAAACATAGGACTCAAATACTAATCCATAATCATCCCTGATGGCTGATTGTGCAGATGCGTGGGATTTACCCAGGGTTTTCAATGCGGGGAGGAGCCTAGAGTTGCAGGGTTGGTAAGACTCTCTTTTACATATAGTAAAAGTATGTAGGTTTTGCTGTACATCTGGTTTCTCTTCTGCTTAATACACATATAATCATCTCGAAGCTTGTGACTCACAATTCTGCTCACAACAGTGGCCACAGGCCTTAGCATCGAAGTCCACATTGCACAACACAGTGCTGTGCAGAGGTATCGGAGCTGGTCTGGAAGACACTAACTCCATGTGATAATGCAGCCAGGCTGATAAGTAGCTCAGAGCAAGCATATGTGGATCTGCTTTATTGTTGTCAGGGTATGAACTTGTATCTCTTCATGGTACTGCACAATGACACTGAAATACTTGTCCAGGTGTAGAACTACTTGGAGTACCTCTAGCTGGCACTGCACTAGATAGTCAGGGATGTTCATGAAGTTGTGAAGATGATGATAAAAGCTAAGGTTTGATTTTACAGTTACCCTTGTTACTACGGAGAGAGATTGAAGAATAGGGAGATTCTTCATCAAGCTTTCTAATTTAATAGCTACAGCCACTATGACACCTTGGGGGCCACTGAAGTGATGGCAATGTCCTCGGTTATTTCAGTAAGGCCTGGATTGATGAGAAAAGCAGCTGTGGGTGCACTGAGTTCCACAGACCTATGCTTATTTACTTCAGCTGGGAATCTTCCCCTTTGTTTGAATTAGATTGCACCCACTTTGCTTCTTCAGTGTTAGTGTGGTAGATACATTAGAAGTGGCTGATAACAACTTCTACAGCTTTATATGGAATGAGTACTAATGTCTCTTCTGTTATGTTCTAAAACAATCTGGGAGATCTGCTTAAGGTTGTCTCATGAAAAAAAGTAATTAAAATGCTGCCTAGAAATGGCATACCATGAAGTATCATTCATCTTTCAGGCCCTGGGATGGCTGTGCATATGTGCATAGCACACATCTGGACCTCCCTTGCTATCAAACCAAACTGGTTTGGGAGAGGGAAACTTTCACAGCCACCCAGAATAACTGACAGACCTATGCTCCCTACAGTACAACATTGGACTGGAGCTGGAAATGTTCCATATAATTGAAAGCCCATTAGCTAAAGCAAGAGGGCAGAACATGACCATATTTTGTTTTAATAGGCTCGGCTATTATCCTTGGTACACATTACAGGAAGTTCTTGCTAATGGTGGCCCACCCCAGAACTTCAGTTTGCAAACTCATCTGGAATAAGCTGGCTGTGACATTAACTCTTACATCCCAGCTAAGGACATCAGTAGATTAGTTGTCATAGCCTGGAAGCACCAGAGGCCTCAGTGGGCCTGCAACTGGCATGCAAAAGAAATCTACAGAAGAAAAGTCCAGGAAACTCATAACTGAAATGGAAGGGATTAGTTTAGCAAATAATGGTGAACATTCAGCCAGACTTCCCTTTGAAGAAAGTGAAAAGGCTTTTATTAACAAAAGAATTGCATCAGGAATGAAAAGCAGACCAAAGGGCCTGTGGGGATGCTATTTATACCCTAACTGTCCCAGTTACACTTTCTGTGATCACAACTACACTTGTTTCTGCCCAAAGAGTGAAGTTTTGATTAACTTTCCTGGCTCTGGGATGGCAGTGCAGCCCTGTATCCTTCCACTAACATTAAGAAAATCCTTGGAAACAGTAAAAACATTTGGCATTTTTCTCAGTTTCGGGTGAATACATCCTAAGGATTTACTCCATGACATCCCAAGATTATGCATTGCCCAGATTTGTGTATGCTTGGCTAGATTATAAAGATGAACCTTTATTATTTCTCCCTATGGCAAGTTTTTGCTGGAACAATGTGGGCTGCATTTATGCTTTAACTGTTCTTGCAGATGGTGCATCAGGATGGAAAACCTCCTACTTGGGCAAGCTCTGCTGATTCATGTTAATTGTCCACATGCTTTAAAGAGCTCAATGTTCTGAAAAAAAAAAAAGCAGCATCAAATACCTATTTTTATTGCTTTAGTTCATCACTATGTGACACTCAAACATGCATTTGAATGGATTAAAAGGATTTCAGCAATTTGATGTAGTATGTAGGAGGTGGTTAATACATTAATCCTTCTGATGTACCTTCTGCTCAGATATGCAATCACTAATCCCCAGATAAATGCCACTTTTATAGAAGGGAAACTGAGGCAGAGATGTCACCAATTTGCTTAGTGTTACATCAGAATAGGAAATTGAAACTATCAGTTTTTCTGCCCCCAGCTCAAAAATGTTTACTAGAGTGCCATACCACCTCAGAGCAGGCAAACTGTGCACCAGGACCAAGGAGTACTGCTCCTGTCAGCTGAACACACATGAACACACACACAGGTATTTCCAAGGTAAGTGTTTTTACCCTAGTCCTTCTTTATATCATTCTGGACATCCTCACAGAAACTGGATGAAGACAGTATGTTTCCTGGTAAAAAGGAACATGACATATCTATTACAGCCCTGGCCTAGTTTTCCCCTGGAGACACTGGCTGCACTACCAGCAGGTCTCAATTTCTGTGTTTCAGAGTTTAGGAAGTGTGCTGTGCTCACTTTTTAAAGGCTATGTTGAGTCTTCCAGCCAAGCTACAGAGTCTGAAGCTGATACCTTGGCCTGGAAAGGAGCATTAGCTCCCTCTCCTATTAGGTCCCACTACCACCCTAGCACTGCCATCACTAAATTCCCAGTAAGGGACTGCACTTCTCTGGGAGCTGCACTTCTCTGGCTTGAAGGCAAATGCCTATTCTTAGGCATTAAAGGAGGGTAGGCACCTCCTTTGGTGTTTTTATCCATCTTGCTCTACCTTAGGTTTGCAAGAAGAGGATGGATGAATATCAATAGCTGCTGAAGGCTGGTGTGCATCCCCTTTGCCATTTTATGACCTGTTTACACCTCTTTTTCCCTTCAGGCTACTAATTCCTGTGAAGCTTTTCTCCTTTGATTCTTGGTGTGCTGTGGCCTTCAGTCTCCCTTAAATCAATGATGGTGTCTAGGAAATCCCTTGCATATCAATGCTCTTTTATCTTCAGTGTTTGTAGCATAGTAATTAACTTGTTGCTGATCCTTAATCACTGTTCCAATTAAGGATAAACATCCAACCACCAAATACCTTCTCCTTATAGCCTTCGATATGAGGAAAAGGTACAGTGGAAAGGCACCTCTCTGAAACCAATCTAGAAGGAGCACAAAAACTGAATCTGAAATTCTGAGGATTCAGTAAGTGTTGCATTTTCCCTTTCATTTAAGGTTGTATAGTGCCAACATTCTCTCTCTGTAGTGGGTTTGCATGGCCAAGTTTTGGTAGCAAGGGGACTACAAGGGTGGCTTCTGTGACAAGGCACTTCTCCCACGTCCTACAGAGCCAACGCCGGACACGTTGCTGGCCAAGGCCAAGCCCATCAGCAATGGTGGGCGAAAAAGAACAGATCTGAACATCTGCAACCAGAGAGTGGTGTGAGAATATGTGACAGCAACAGCTCTGCAGACACTAAGGTTAGTGAAGAAGGAGGGGGAGGAGGCGCCCCATGAGCTGGAGCAGAGATTTCCCTGCAGCCTGTAGTGAAGACCATGGTAAGGCAGGCTGTCCTCCTGCAGCCCGTGGAGGTTAACAGTGGAGCAGACATCCACTTGCAGCCCATGAAGGGCCCCATGATGGAGCAGATGGATATCTGAAGGAGGCTGTGATCCCATGGGAAGCCTGTGCTGGAGCAGGTTTGCTGGCAGGACTTGTGATCCCATGGGGACCCACACTGGAGCAGTCTGTTCCTGAAGGATTGCATCCTGTGGAAGAGACACACACTGGAGTAGTTAATGAAGAACAGCAGCCTGTGGGAAGGGCTCACACTGGAGAAGTTCATGGAGGTCTGTCTTCCATAGGAGGGATGCCATCCTGGAGCAGGGGAAGAGTGTAAGGAGTTCTCCCCCTAAGGAGGAAGGAGCAGCAGAGACAACGTGTGATCAACTGACCTCAGACCTCATTCCCCATCCCCTGCACTGCTGCGAGGGGAAGGAGGTAGAGAAATCAGGAGTGAAGTTGAGCCTGGGAAGAAGGGAGGGATGGAGGGAAGGAGTTTTAAGATTTGGTTTTATTTCTCACTACTCTTCTCTGATTTGATTGGTAATAAATTAAACTAATTTTTCCAAGTCAAATCGGTTTTTCCAGTGAGAGTAATTGCTGAGTGATCTCCTTGTCCTACGCTGAACCACAAGCCTTTTGTTACATTTTCTCTCCTGTGCAACTGAGGAGGCGGGTGATAGAGCAGCTTTGGTGGCACCTGGCGTCCAGCCAGGATCAACCCACCTCACCCTCCTGTAGCCTGGGCTTATTTGCAGTCAATTTTTCTAAGGTTTCTACAATACACTGAATGAGCTCCTAGGGAAAGCAGAAAGAATAATGCATGCCTTTGGAATCACAGCTTTCCAGTTGCAGAAAGATGGGGAAAACAGGTGATTTACATGGCAGAATGGCTCTCTCCTTCCCCTTATCAGCAAAAACAGAACTGAGGGAATGCTTTAGGGAATTCTTACATTAAAAATCCCACTGAAATGAAAATATTTTAGTTGTTTCTAGCAATTTATGAGATACAAAATAATTACATTTTGAATCAAAGTAAATTGTATCCCAGTCTTTGCTCATTTGCTTATTAACATCTCAGGCAGTACCTATGTTTACAGCTTATGACTAATAATCTTTGTACTCCAGACAGCAAACCTGTAGCCACAATAAAATACAGCACATAGGGACCAAAATGAAAAGAAAATGTAGTCCAAGGGACAGCCACATAGCAAACCACTGAATTACTTTAGATAAGCTGTGAAATGTTGAATCATCCTGACAGTGATGTCTTTACTCTTTTCACTGTGGCAAGATCTTATTAACACTTTTGGAGAGTGCCTGGGAACTGCAGGTATTGTTATTTGGTTAGGTGTGAATTCAACTTCTTCAGAAGCAAGCCTAGGCCTGATTTAAATGCAACATACAAGATTCTCATTTTACCCTTCTGATAGTCACCACCTGGTGATTGCACTGGTTCTGAGTACTCAGTACCAGCAGAGCCGACTGATTAACAATTTCTGCTGTCCCCTAGTCAGGATGACCATGGAACATGGTCAATTCTTCCTGCCTCAACAAGATTTTGTGAGGCTCACAGGCAACCAGTGGCAGAGAAGGAAGACAACTGCTAATACCAGGCATTCTGGAAGACCAGTCCTCAATATTTTCTATTCCAGCTGGATAAAACACCAGGAACTCACCTAAAGCCTGATTAGCACACAAGTCAGATCAGATTAGGTACACCAGTGGTGCCCAGCAATTGTCTAGTTATGGGAGCTCTGTGCCTGTGTGTGGACAAGTAAAATGCAGCAGATGGAGATGGAGGCTTTGTATTATGTGATATCAGACCTAACCACATTGCAATCAAAGACTGATTTCTGAGGCTCCATCACATCCTGGAGCTTTCAGACAGTCACACATAAACTTTGTTGTGAGAAATTACTTCGTCCTTAAAGCTGTGTGAAATCAGTGTTCTGGGCAGCTCTTCTCCTGGCAGATGGTATAAAAAAAACATCCAGCATGAGAATGAATGGCTGAAAATAAGTGTTCAATTGTCCTTAGTAAATTCAATAACTTCAGCCAATTTTTGTAAATATTCAGCTGTGGTTTCTGTCAGAGTTAATGTGAATAGGAAGGTGGACTTCCTTCCAACTGGATCAAGTGACAAAGGCATCTCCATCAGCTCTGGACCCCCATGTTCTTGCCACACAGCCACTCTGTCACCATCTGAGTTTCTAGTGTACATCATGACTTCTTTGTAGATCTGCAGGCTGTGTTGTTATCCAGGGACTGCAGGTTGCTAAAGCCCTTTGAACCTCCATCGGGTTATATTTTCTGCAGGAAAAATAATCCTTTATATTAGTCAAATTTAAATTATCCTGAATGAATGAACTAATGATGCTTACATATTGCATATTTTTCTGAAAGAAAAAGGAAAAAATAGAGTGGTTTGTTTCACATCAGCTAAAATTTATTTTCTACTATTTAAAAAGCAAGAGCACAAAACACAAAAATCTGTTGATTCTGAATTAGGACCCTACATTATCAATGTCACAGCAGCAGCTGAGGTGCCCAGCAGTTATGTTTCCAGCAAAATGGACAATGAATATGTGTGAAGAACCTGGGGAGCCTTGACATTTGAGTCCTACTTTTGAATCCTAAGAGCTTCCAGGTAGATGCCTCAGAAGACCAAGGATTTATTGTGAGAGGAGAAACATCAAATGGAGCTCTGGAAATAACGGCAGAGACATTTATCTGGGTTATGAAGGAACTGACTGTGGAGCAGTTAAAGTCGCTGATGGCCACCCAGGGAGCTCAGCAGACTCTCTCTCACCCAGAAGATCTGCAGCAATCTGCCTGCTTACTTTGCCTTTGATAGCTCTTTCCTAACTGCTTCTTAATCAAAGGGCTGGTTTCAGTTGGTCAAGAAGGATGGTGGAGTGGATACATCAGAAAGTCTCACATTGTCTGCAGCTGGGACATGTCATGGTCCCAGAGATAACCCAAACCCTGCAGCTGTGACCTGAGGCACATTGCCCATAACACACAGAGAGGGGCACCTCGAAGGCTGAGTTAGACACACAGGTTATAGGAACATGTCTTGACCCCAGCTTTTAAGTTCAGGTTGTTTAGGAGGCTAGAGGCACAGGAGACTGCCACAACCAGGACAGCAGAGGCCCGTTACTACTGGAAAAAACAGAAAAACAGCACAAGGTTCACTTTTACCCCATGTAAAGAGAGGAAGAGTCTACTCATATCTGTCTCTTACTGGATGGCATACTGGATAGAGCACCCCCCCCGAAAATGGAAGATGGGAGGAGAGGTTTCTAATTGCCTTTCCATATGAGTTAATTCAAGTCCATGTTTTCCTCTTTCATGTCCTGCATGATGGAGGTGTTCATGCTTTGAGCTCTCCACTAGATACAAAGGAATAAAAAAGTCAGGAGATCAGAAAAAAAAAAAAAAAAAAAATAAAAAAAAGGACAAGCTGTACCCTGTTGAGGAGGATATTTACTAAGAAAGAATCACAGAATCATAGAATACCAGGTTGGAAGGGACCTGAAGGATCATCTGGTCCAATGTATATAGTCTAATCCAACAGCAAAGTTTCCTTGTGGTGTTTTTTATGACATGACTATTTAAAATAAAATTAATAAGTAGTTTTGGGAGCAGGAGTTCCATCTCAGCTTGGTCTACTTCCATCTTCAATCTACGATAACACTCCCGTGACTTTTAAATTTAAAGCTAATGAAAGCATCCCATGGCTGTTACAGAGATGCAATCAACAAGGATCAGTCAAATTTATCATCTTCGACAGAAAACTTACCTATGCCCCAGCTGCCATTGTAAGATCAGTTCTCTAGAAGGGGTAGAAAGGCTTCCCCAGGGCTCTTCTTCCAGTCGGCAGGGAAAAGAATGCTCTTCTAGAGGTGATCATGAGCAGAAAGCATACCTGGCACATCTCCAGGGCACTGTGAGAACCTCTAGCTTCTCAGCTTCACATAGGTTCAATATTGAAGGAGAACTTACATAAATGAAACAATTACAAACCATGTGGTTATTAATAATACAGATGAAAATGTGCATATGCACACATACGATATATATGTGAAATAATTGTGTATTTATATTAGAATAGTAGCTGGAAAAAGAACAGGCAAAGAGCTGTAAGACAAACAAGTGACCTATGCTGAGTTCCGTGCTCTTTTCATTTGACCCAGACAAACATGGGAAATATACCAGCCAACTCCCACTAGTCTCTGTTATTTCTTTTTTCCTAGAACCTTAAAGAACCCATCAGGCTTAAACCTTTTTGATTTTCCACCTCTTAGCAGCTTTTCATTCTTTAAGCATATGCTATTATCCTCATATCTAACCTGTAATAACGATGTTAAACAAATGATTGTAAGGTGTACAAACACTGTGTTAATAGAGGTCTTCAAGGAAGGTGAGAAAAACTTTCATTATTTTTTTTGACAAAACTCCACTGCAGAAAGGAATATTTTCAGTTCCATTTAATTTAGAGGAGGCTATGACTAATCCACATCCAATCAATAAGAAATAAATTGAATTTAGAATTATTCTTCTTTTTTTTTAAAAAAAAAAAAAAAGGGCAGGCTATTTAGTTTTTATAAAATGAAGGAGACCACATTTTCTAAAGCATATTTTTATAGTGAAGAAAGCCAAAGATATTGTGGTTGCTTTTTTTTATTTTTTATTTTTCCTGGAACAGCTTTCTCAGAAAAATGCAGTTTGTTAAAAAGAAAGTGCTTATTGTGGTGGATTTTTCAAGAGAAAAGTGTAACAATTATTCATTTGACATTCTGCTTGTGCTGTAGGAATGAATTACACTTTGATAGGAAACCAAATGTCTCTTAATGTTCTTTTAGAAGCATAGGATTAAATGTTAAGTTTTGATTCTTCTTGCTGTCTTTGTTAAGGTCACTTCTTACTGCTTATAGTAACTAAATGGGAAAGAGAACATTATTTTATAACATGAAATTACAAGTATCTCTGTGAATGTGTTAATTAGCAACTGCCTATAATACATTAATGTGTATTATATAAACGTCACGATAAACCTTGGTATCCAAACATGGATCCATGTTCACAGGCCAAAATTTCTCCCACCCAGTGTCCATTGAACTGGGACAACCAAATTAGAAGCTAGTCCTTTTAGAAGGAGGACACCTCCTGAGGACCACTTCAGGTGCAGTGGGGTTTTGCTGGTTTTCAGGTTAGTGACACTCGGGCAGTCACTGTTGGAGACAGCAGTTTTGGTTAGAGAGTCCTAGGTCCTGCTGCAGGATCAACCTGGGCATTGTCCTGGTTTGAGCCAGGATGAAGCCACTTTTACCAATTTTTATTTCCTTCAGTAAGCTCTCTTTTAACTAGCAATAAATGTCCCAACTAGGACTGATAGCAAACACTGGAATGTTTATGCTATTGCTGGGTCTTCAAGGTCACATCTTTGCTCTGCCGGCTCAAGCACAACCGGGAGATCTATGACCTGGGCAGAGCCTCAGCCCGCACGTCCCTGCGGGCTCAGCCCCGTGTGGCTGCAGGTGGCTTTTGTCCTGGTGCTCTTGAGCCAGGGCACGGCTAAATAAAAAGGGTACCTAAAAAAGCTTATTCTCTAAGTTGTTAAAGGTTTTCATAAGCTGCTAAGTGTTTAGGTAAACAGTAAGTATCCTACCTGATTTAGCATTTAACAATATTTGAGAGGAATGAGGTATGTGAATCATCTTCCACCTAGCCAAAGGTTTAACAAACAGCTAGTTAAAAATCTGTATGTGTCTCACTAATAATTGAAGCCATGCACAATTTTAGGTATATCTAGTATTATAGCAGAGGCAACCAAGGTCATTGAAACAGTTTTCTGGTTGTGAATGAGAATAGACATAAAGAAAACTGCTCTGACATTATTGCCTGCTGATCATCCTCCTAGCCTCTTCCTTGTGTCACTTTGAAATGGGAAATCAGACACTACTTAGGAATTTCAGGTAATTTGGAGCCTCCATTTGTAGTATCCTCTGGTATTGACATGTTGTACCATGTTCCCCACTGGCTTTGTGTTGATATCTTCTCTTTTTGCTTCTATTTACTGTCACCCTGGCAAAAGACAGATGTTTGAAACTGGCACCTGGTTGCAGTCATACCATGAAGTGGCTGTACAATTCATGACCTTGTTCCTTCATCTAGATCCAATTGGGCAAACCCCATCTGCATGTGCAGCCAGTTAGGAGATAGAGATCCAACTGACAGCAAGGTTAAGTCAGTGTTTCAAATTAAATCAGAAATTTTGATCTGATGTAGGCAACCCTTGTCTCGATCTTCCTAACTTATCAGTTCTAAACTATTACTCCCATTAGCCTGGAGGCAGCTGAAGGGTAATGCTGCACTTTCTTGCCTTTCTT